TCTAAGCGCCCCCTAAACGAAAGACCCCTGGCCCGAGGGCATGACCACGAGATGCTGAAAAAGATACCATTAACAAGAACGCAATACTTGTACCTTTTAGTAAAAAAATTTAGCGATGGTCATTGGCGCCTTCCAATTTCGATGAAACATGGAGATCATGGTGTGCGGCTGAAGATACTAAAACCAGGATCAGCAACCAGCTAGTACCGACCCAATTGCTTCCTTTCAGTGGTTGCCAAAGAGGTTGAGTCCGTTTTACTTGGCCGTCGAAAGGAGTTCGTTTACTCGAAACGCTTGCAGAGTATCAGTTTGGATTTCGGCAAGGGCACTTAAGGATTGACCGGTGCCTAATGGAAATTTGCTATAAATGCGGTGAAAAGGAAAACGCTTTTAAGTAAAAAGAATGCATCTTTTCAATGGCGCTCATGACCCTTAATAAAGTGAACATTTTGTCTTCTCAAGCGAAATAATTGAAAGTCATCATTGAAAACAAAAATTTCCTGGTGGCCACACGTGGACTATGTAGTGGCGGAGGTCAAGACAGGAACTAAGGCGCCTTCCCTTCATTATGCAGTAAGGACGAGCTTTCTCTGAGCAACAAACGGCAATTGTATATGTCCTACATCCAGCCAATAGTGATATACGCGTCTGCTGCTTGGACAGTGCAATTGTGCGACAAAACAAATTACTGCGTGGTTTGTATGAAATAAAGTTCTTTACCCGAACTTCACCTGGACCCTTCAGACGTCGTTCTCCCAACGCAATGTTAATGCCCTTTAATCAGGCTAGACAGACACACTAATCGCCTGTTGGTGAGCGAACTTATTTACGAAGCCATTACACGGGGCGTATTATCGCCGTCCACGCGACACACACGCAAGCTCTAGGTTTGTTTGTTGGCGTCAAGTAAATAAGACGCGTTAACTATTGAAAGACTACTTCGTCCATAGAAAACCGCCTGGATGGCAAATCTGCGCGGCATGGCCAGTATTAATCGGATGACGTAATCGCCCTAGCAAAACTGAGACTCGGCGACGAATACGGGATTTAACTCTTCAATTTTTTTCCTGCTACTTTTATGGAAAAGCTAATTAACATTTCTAAAGTGTTCGTTGGTTTTATTCTACCATAGAACCTTGGCTTTTTTATTCATGTTAGGCTGATCAATTACCATTCAGAGACTCGGGTAGAAAGAAACAATAGCGTTCTTACTAGTAAGAATCTCAACAAACAGAAGTAATCTTGATTCTAACTTAATAATCTCACCTAAGAGATAAGACATTAGTTTTTATCTAGTTGTCTGCGTATTTTTCTGCATGCTGACTTTATTTATACATTTAACTTAACTTAGTGCGTGATTTGCCCAGGCAACTTAGATTATCGCTGCGACCACCGAGAGGTACTAGTCGGCGATCCTTTAAAAAAAAAAATTTCAACTGTGCAGGTGCTGGGTATAATGTATCTTGGTGCTAATGATTCATATCGTGGGGACCACGCGATATTCTAGAACATTCTTTAACGAAGCAACGGTTGCTTCTTGCCGCCATGACATTATTGTCAAGCGCACAAAAAAGATCGTGTCATATATATACGCGCCTGTCGTATATGTTAGTCCTTGCCCTCTCAGGGAGGTAGAAATATCGAAGGATGGTAAGAGTTTGCCATTCGGAGACGGATTGTCGTTTTAATGTAAACTTAACTTGTATCGGGTCCATGTCGCCCTCCTCTCTTCGAAGGCGTCAGCGTTGATGTTCCAACAAGCTCTCTAACTTGGGCATTTTGCCAAATGGCTAGTATCTAATACGGTACTTGAACTCAATTATGAAAAAATTAGCTAATTATTTGTGAAAGTCGTAGAAGCATAATTATGTACATTCCTATTGCGAGCTCTTAGTTGAGGTTGGCACGTTACTTCGGAAAGCTGAAAGTGGGTCTGCAATATGACTGGATAGTCCAAGAGCCGAAAAGATCTGCTTTAAAATTGACAAAACTATTCGGCAGCTGTAGTCTAAAGTTTGGTGCTAAGTTCCCTGTATCAGAAGGGTTAGGCGCATCGTTTTCTGGCGAAAGTTAAGCTTAGAGCGGAGGGAGGTCGTTTCTTTACTGATGACTATTGTTAATTCAATCCTATTCAGTGATTGGTTAATTAACTTTGAATTTGAGCAGAAAGAAGCTTGCGTGAAGTATACCAGCGTTGCCTTATGAAGTTATTGATTCTTTTCCGTACGAAAGTAGAGCCTATAGACCCTTTTTGAACAGATTGGCAAATTTGGTTAAGTTCTTTGAGTACTTCTGTTTCTAGCTACTAAGTGCGTCTAAAAGCGTTTCGCATGAACATCTTCATTGAATGAGTAACGAAAACAACACTATACTTTGATCCTAAGCTATTCTTTTGGTATACAAAAAGTTTTGCTTTAAGTTTAGATGAGTAAGGAAACTTAACTGAACTCAACTGTAAACCATGCGGCTACGTACTAGTGCTTGTGCTATGTATCGAATGTGATATGTAGTATTAGGCAATATTATTGAACAGTGTTATTTACAAATATATACTATGATTTACTGATTTTAACCATAAAAATGCAACAAATTTTAACTTTTGCTATTTTCTCCAGGTAAACACAAGTAATTAAGTTATCTGAAAATTAATTATAAGAGAACTCTAAACTAACTTGTTATTGAGGCTTGTCTTTTGGAGCACGTCCTTGCCTTACTTTCTCTTTGTCTTTCCTTTGCGGGGGACAAGCCGTTCCAGTGCTGTTCAGTGCTGAGCTGTGACTGCAACAAGTAAGCCCTTCCGACGCTACTCTAACGATTAGCAACTGCAGAGATTGGGGTATTAGTGGGGATACTTTACAGCATGGATCGCGTTTGACCACTATCCATGTCTAGCGAAATTCGTTCAGCATTAAACACTCTTAAAAGGATCGAAGATTGCTGTTCGTCCCTAGGCTGTCATTGTAAAGTGTTCGAATAAGATCGAACCTATCTAAAAAAGTGAGTCGTTATGCAGTCTAGTAGTTTCGAGCAAACTGCTTGAGGTGTCACTTGACTGTCTGCCCTTGTGTCATTGATCCATCACGTTCGATGTCCATCCTGGGTTAATTGCAAGATGGATGTAGTAACATAAAGAATAGGTGATGTTTAGTGACCCTCTAGTGTTGAGTGGTTTCGTGACTTCAGATGAAATTACATAGTAAACTAAAGGTATTTGCTCTGGACTTACCCTCCATTCGTTGAAACATAAAACTTGAAATTCTGAAGATGGCTGCCATGCTTAGCTATAAAGTTATCAGGGTTCTTGTACCGCTGAGAATCCTAGAGTTGTTTGACAAACGATCAAAAATGATTGCTCTTAAGGATAATAAAACTGGCTGCATAACATAGACCATTGAGAAGTGCTATATTCCTTCTGACTGTAACAGGTTGGCATATAGCTATGGGTAAAAAACATTCGAATGGAGCCGTAGAGGCCGTGTCGTCTATTTAATACACTCTTTGGCTCAATAACGAATGGTGCCTTGTGACTCATGATATACCACGTGACTGCCTGATACGCTATTATTTAATTGTAGCATCAGATCTAGCGCTGTTGTGAAGCATTAGCTAAGTTACATAAATATGGTAGCTTCGGTAAATAGTTCCGGACAAAAGCTTCGGTTATCCTATGTTTATTGTAGTGAGCGGTCCGTAATAAAACTCTTCGCATTGCATCGAGATGACTACTGTAGAAAATTAGAAGTTTAAGCACTATGATGTGAAGTGAGTAGCCATATTATAGTGTACACTCCAGAATAAAGTATATTAGTAGCATACAGTTATAACTACTGTAATTGTATGCTAGTATTGTGCTATGTAGTAGTTCTAAGTACTGTTGAGTTGATGTAAATTGACTCGAATATACAAAGTTTATAAAGTTTATTTAGCTAATATAAAGTATAGTAAGAGTGTAGTAGTATGGTGGTAGTACTGTATGAGGAGTCTTAGTTACAAATTACAAAGCGGGACTCCCGTCGAGTAAATAAGACACCGAGTGAAAGCTATCACGTGACATGCCTGCCCCTAATTGATAGCTCGATTATTCTATATTTTTTTAACTCGATCGAGCATCAAAAACTGTCATTTGTAATTAAATAAAAGATCAACCGGAAATACTAAGATCTTTCTTTTTTCTTTTTTTTTGGTTTATACATTTTTGAGTTTTATTTTATTTTTTTCTGTTAATTTAAGCTTGTATTCACTTTACTTATTAATTCTTATTCTTCATTCTAATTTTATTTATTCAACTGATTTACTTCTTTCTAATCTAAAACCTGATAGGTTGATTTTATATTATAAACATTACTGCCACCATTTTATAATAAATAAACATAACACTTTAGATAAATCTCCAGCAAATAGTATTTTCAAAAACCTAAATATTTTATAATTTGAACAGGAATAAAATTTATTTATTTAATTTCACATAAAATAGCTTAATTCTCACTGTGAAAGTTTTCCTTTAGAATGTTTCTCATCAGGTCAATAGGAATCCTTAGTTTATGAGATATAAAAGTTAAAAATGCAATAGTTTATTATGGGAATAAAATACATATTTTTAAAATTTTAATTTTTTTTCCTTCCCTTGTGCTACGAAGAAAATATAATCTTTTATATTTGCTTACTATTAAAATTTTATTTAATAGGTTTTATTAGCTGATAAAGTATACTTTCGGAGCTTTAAAAATAAGATAAATTACTATTTAACAAATAAGGTTAATAACAAGGTACAGTTAAAAGATGTCTACTTTTATGATATTATTTTTTTACAACTTAAGTAGGGAAAAAGTGTCTTAATTTATTATTATTTATAAGTAACTACCTGTTTAAAGTTTAAAATAAACAACCATAAACCGCCTCAGTTGAGGTAATTATATATTTTTTATAGGATTTCCAAAGTTATCTCAGTAGTGCAGGCTAAAGAGAATACGGGGAATAAACAACTTTATTAATATTACGTTTGATTTAATTTTCAATTTTTTTCAATTTTTTTCTCTTGTAAAACAATTTTTCCTGATAATATACAATAGTGGGAATAAAGTTTCCCATAACGTATAGATTATAAAAAAAGATAAGTATAGTTTATTAGATTATTAGCAAAAAAAAAGGAATAGAAAAAGTTTCCTACAAACTTTAAAACAATCCTTAAATCTTACACATAATTCAAGAAAGCTATAAAAAAAAAGTTGATAATCAAAACAAAAGTTGCTAATTTTCTAAAACTTTTTTTTTTGCAAGTGTATAAGAAATGACCGAATCTGAAGAAGCTGGTTAGACTAGTAGAGTGCGAATATTAATTATTTTTAAATTAGAAAAAAGAAGAGCTTTCAACTACTATATTACTGTCAGTCTACAATCAAATTTTATATACAGATTTATGAAATATTTTTTAAACAAATTATTTTTTTTAATGAGTTTAATACTCTTTATTTTAAAAATATTATGAACTTCAATAGTTTTAGGCTTAATAAATTTTTAAACTTTTTAATTAATATATATTTTTTTTAGTTTATGCATTTTTATATATTTTTTTAAAGTTTATAGTTTTGTTAGTAAAAAAAACAATATAAAGAATTTTTTTTCATAGTTTTTAAAGTTCTTTAGTGTTAATAATTTAAAATTGTAAAACTATTTATTATTTAATTTTTTTTTTGCCCTTTTTGCTTTTATATATTGTATCGCTTAAAAATAATAATTTTCCTATACTGATAATTGTTTTCTTTCATGCTTATTATAATAATTATTAAAAAAATATATAGGTATAATTACTTGTATTCAACTCCATTATCGAAATATTTAAAAAAGGGGTGAATGCTTAATTTTCTTTACTCGAGACCATCCGAAAGCAGAACAATTGAAATTTATTTAATTTTACAATAAATATTCTTAGTATTAATATAATAATTGCAATTTTAATAACTTAGCATACAAATTAAAAATCAGTATATAAAATTTATATAATTAAATTTAATTTTTATGTCAAAAATATACCACCTATTAAATCCTTATTAATTCATCTTATCATTATCGTTATTATTTCTTTTAATAATGTAGACACAAATAATTAAGTATATATTAATATTACTTCAAATCTTTATAGCTAAAAACGGAACTTCCCGCTACAATTGAATTTGCGCCCGCTATAAATATATAAAAGAACTCTTCATTCAATAATTCAAAGAAAAATTAGATATATATAATGGTAACCTTTTAATATTAATCCAAATAAAAATATTTAATAGAAAAAAAAAATTTATAAAAACTGTCTATAAAAAAATATCCCTTTAGCAGCTTTTTCAAGAGTTTCTGAATTAAGCCCTCCATCTACTTGAATGTTTAAGGTTTTGTAACGCCTTCGTAAATATTCCACCTTGAAAAGAAAATTTATGGTAAATAAGAGTGAATTAGGCACATAAAAATAAATGTAGTAAACGTTTATTTAAAAAAAATTTAAAAAATTTGCTGTTCTTAGTGAATTGAAAAATAACTATTGAGTATAGTCAAACAAATATTACATTTTAATTATAATTGATCTCAGCCAATTCTTAACAGTGAACTCCTTATAAAAATTAGATTCTAAAGTCAAGGTAAGTTTTTTTACACAAAAACTATCGAAATTTTTAATTTATACTAGTAGAAAAATAAATCCTAAAGTAACAAGGCGGTGTGAAGATACAAAGTAGAATTTAAACTTTTTTACTTATTTAAAGGAGAAGAAGCACTGAGTACCTTGCTGAGCATCTGATGCATAAATTTCTGTCCACCAAAACCGGGTTCCACTGTCATTATTAAAACCAAATCGACGTGCTCAATTAAACCATCCAGAGCACTTAAAACAATTATAAATTATTTTTAAATACTGTTATTGGATTACTGTTATATTTAGCAAAAATCACTTTAGCAATATTAACATGCGCAATAAAATTATTAAAAACACTTAAAAATTTGTTTGAAATTAAGTTAACAAGCTCAGTAAATCCAGAACATTTGGAAGATTCATAAATCACTTTTTTACAGACTCTAACCCGCTGTGATACCGGCCTCGTTAAATAAATAACTTGAAAAACTTATAGCTTTTAGTTTTTTTTTATAAGTTAGATTTATTTATAAGACATACATCGTAATTTTAATTAGTAAACTTTAAAAAGTATAAAAAAGAGAATATTATTTATATAAAGCGGGGGAGCATAAATTTAAATTATTAAAATAACTAAAGTATACATAACATCTCTCTTATAACTCTTTTAAATCAGTCTTACAGGAGATTTAAATTGTAGTAAATTCAGTAAAATACTTTATATTTTAGCTTCAAAATTGTATTTTTTGTAATTTTTTTATTTAATGTAATACTTCAATACTATTAATAGATCGTCTTATATAATTATACATATTTTGATTTCGAGTGAATTTTTAAAAATGCAGTTCAAGTAAAAGGTTTTAGTAGGATATTCAATATTTGAATTTCAACTTGAACTTAACTTTTTTTAAATTACTTTTCTTTATTTATCTTTTGAATATTATTAAATAATCTTCTATATTTATATACACTTCAGGATCGTATGTATTTTTTAAAATTGTAGTTTTGGTACAGACTTAAAATAATCTACGTTCTGAAGATTTATTCAATTAATTTTTTATTATTTTTTTTAATAACTTTTTATTTATTTATTAGTTAATATACTCGTATATCTATATATTTTTCAGTTTCGTATGAATTTTTTGATTTGGCATATCAACTAAAAGCTTTAGTAATCTACTTGTTGAAAAATTTAAATAATGAAATTTTTTTAACGGCATTTTATAATTTAAATAAACAATTTTTAATTCATTGTATTATATTAAAATATTAGTTAATATATTTATATAAACTTTAGCTCCAATATATTTTTCAGTAAAACTTAAAGAAATAGTTGCTATAAATTACTTAAAGCTGTAACTAATTACCTTAACTATTAACTGAGATTTTTATTAATTTAAAAACTTTTTTGTAAATTATTCTCAAGCAGTGGTATAAGCTCTAAAACTTTTATTAAAGCTATAACAATTTCTTATAAATATAATCTCCAGAAATCTAAAACAAATTAATATCACATAAAAATGTTGATATAGATTCCGTCTAGAGGCCTTTTAGCGTACCAGAGCGGCTTATATGTACATATAAAATTATTATTATATAAAAATTCACGTAATTTCCGTGGCCGGCTTGAGGGCTACTCCCACTTCCATCTTTAAATTTTTAATTTGTTTAGCTAACTTTATTGGTTCTTTAGTGGCCTCTAGGTGGAAAGTATATCGATTTCCTCCAGAAATTGCTATTTCATTCGCCCACTAATTATATTAATTATTAACAATTAATTAAATCTTAATTTAATAATTATTATTAAAGGAAAAAATAAGAAGTAAATGAAAATATATTATAAAAGTAAAATACTTGTTCTGGATTAGCAACCATCATGTGACAATCTTTCAGCAAAATCCAGAGTTTATATAAAAAAGTTATTGATTTTGAACACATATTTTTCGAGAATTTTTTTTATTAGAAACACTTTTATTACTACTTTATTAAATTTAACAATTAAGTTAAAAATTTCATAAATTTTTTACTTCAGTAATTGCTCGTGAGTACAGTAATTAAATAAAAAATAATATTGTTTATTGGAGGTTGTTTTTAATACTAAAATAATGATTGGTCGGCTATAACACCAATAACAATAAGAAAAACTATTTAAAAAATCTCTAAATTAAGAAATATCAATATTCCGCTTAAAATTTATTTAAAATTTATTTTTATTTAAATTAAAGTTAAAACTTCTATACAAAAAAAAAATTTAAAAGTATATAAAATTTTAAAGTAGCACTTTTTATAGAATTACATTCCTAAATAAATTTCTAGAATATATAAAAGTCAACGTAAAGTTTTTTTAACTATAAGTTTTTAAAAAATAATTTTAGATAAAAAGTAAAGTAAAACTGAAGACGAGCGTAAGTTAAAAAAAATAAATTTTTACTTTTTTTTTATCTAAATAATTTTAAACATAATTTTTCAGATCTTACTTAAGTAAATATTAAGGCATATAAATTTAGTTTTAGTAAATAATTTTACTTAAATTGAATTAAATTCGTTCTGAGATTTTTAAAGCTGCGTAAATAAACTTTTCCATTATTTATCGGTTTAGTAAAAATAATGATCGAAAAAAAGGTTTAAAAAGAATAATAAAAAGAAAAATAAAGAATATTAATATACTATATTATGTAAACTGTGCTTTCAGTTTTTATGATAACGATTGTTAAGGATTTAATTGTAATAAAGAAAAGGAATCAACAATCCGGTTATATAAAGTTAACTTGGACAAATTTGCCTTGTAATTAATACTAATTGAAATTAAACTTATTTTCAAAAGATTATAAAAAAAATTAAAAGATATTAAACTTCTAAATAAAAAAAGTAAATAAAAATTTTACTATTAAACAAAAACCTAATTAATAATAGTTGAAAATTTTAAGATCACTTTATATTTATAATAAAAATATTAAGAAAATTGAAATATAAAAATTTATAAGCAATTAAAATCTAAAATAGTAAATAATAAATAAACAAGGAAGAAAATAAAAAAGCGTTCAAGAGGAAATTTGATAAAATTTTAATGCTTAAAAAAAAAAATTTTATTTGTTAAATTTTCAAAATAACTAAATTATGAATAAATTATAAAAGACGTCCAAGAAAATTTATTTGCTTAAAAATTATAAGTTAAAAAAAATTTTAAACACTAAATTTCCAGAATAACTAAAATAAAAAGGAACTTAAAGAAAGGAGTTCGAGAAAAAATATGAAGTGTTTCAAAACTTTCTAATCTAAAAAAATTTATAAAAGTAAATTTTTAAACTAAAGTAGAGAAAAAAACCAAAAGAGTGTCTGAAAATATTTAAATACCACAAATTCCAAGAGCTAAAAATATTTTATTATAATACATTGTGCAGAATAACTAAAGTAAAAAAGAAAAAGGTGTCTAAAAAAAAATTATAAAATTTAAAAGCTAATTAAATTTTTAATATTAAACTATATGAATATATAAAGTAAATTAGAAACCGAAAAAGGCGTCAGAGTGAGCTCGAAGGCTTTTTATAACAGGAGGCCCCAAAGTTATATTTGGAACAAAATGTCTAAACATTTATACGAATTACACTAATTTAACAAACGTTGAAGTAATAATCGTTAGTACCCATCCATAACATCTATATGCAAATAATCAGCACCAGCCTGAACAGCTCGTTCAGCCTCAGATGCTAGATTACTTAAATCTGAGGCAAGCAAGGAAGGGCCAATTTCCATTCGAATAATATTTTTTTTAAAGGGCATTATATATATTTTTTTAAAAGTACATTAATATAGAAGAGTAACCCGTCTACTCACTACAAACGAATACTCATATCAGACGAAAAATATAATAATGTTGAAATTTAGGCACTAAAAATAGTAAAGTTTATATATTTTATTTTAAATGCAACCATAAACAGTCAGTTAGGGTTCTTCTTCCACGATGCGAGAAAAAAACAAATTCCCCAGTAAAGCCCTTAACAAGTTTTTGATTGGTTACTATTATAGTGAAATTTTTAAATTTTTCACTTTTATGGATTAAAACTTTTTTATTAAGATAATAAACTCACTTTTGTTCCGCGTGAGTTCAAGTACCCAATGGGTTTTGGTAACCACCTCACTTTGCGTAGATCGTTTGTATAGTAACACCTTTTGTGCTTTTATTTTCTTTGTAGTTAGCTATCGAGCCTGCGTGTTATAAGAAAGAAGTTGTCTCAATAAGCTTTGATTAACTCTAACTACTAAACGTAACTTAAAAAGTGGTAACTACCTTAATAAACACTTTTATAAAGAACTATATTAGTTTTTTTATCACATATATATATATTTTTCTTATACTGCAATTGATGTCCACTTTAGACCTCTCTGCTTAGGATGATAAAGTGTATTCCTCCGTAATAAACTAAATGAACTAGGAGCTCAGTGAGTTTATTATTATAAACTTAATATTTTAAACAGGCAGAAATAAATTTAATCAGTATAATATTATTAAAATGTAATTAATATGTGTTAGAAAATAATATCTTACAGAGCAGATCTAATAACTTAGCACAAGTTAAAGGCTTTACGTTGAGCAAAAAAAGCAGGCCGCATCGTCCTATGACGAAAATGATAAAAAATAATAACCGTAACACTTACTTATGGAGTTTCTACGGAACGGAAGAGGGTGTATTGTTAATATAATTCTTTCAATAGTTATAAATTACTAACTGACTGCTACGCAGGTGTAATAAGATAAGTGGATATTCCAGAATAACGTTTTAATAACTCAAAAAAAAAAAATTAAGATATTAAGTTTAATTAATAAACTGTTTTTCAAAAATATTGTCATAATACACTACAAATTAATCGACTTAATAAATTTAAGCAGTTTTAACATAGTTAAATAAAAACTATTACTTTGTAATTTGTGTTGAAATATTAAATGTTATAATATGTCATGCTGTAGATAATCTTTACCTTTATAAATCTCAACTGCTTTGATCCTTATATCTTGTAATTTTTATTAAACCCCAGTTTAATTAAAAATTTATTATGAATCTTTTCTTTGCAAAAGTCTTTCACATGAAGAGTCAGTATAAACCTTAACCTTAAAATTTTTTACAGAATGTTATTTTTTTCTTTCTAATTCAAAAGCTACGCTAAAGCTAAATTTAACTTAGAGCCAACCAGTGCAGAACTCCATTAAAGTGTAATTACTATGATGGTTATCACTTTTTAATCGATCGCGATATTTCTAAAACTTTCTATTAACTCTTGATGAGTGCGTGCACATAAAACTATGTAGTATAATATATAACAACTTAATGAAAATCTTATCAAAATGTGCTATAGTGAGATGACTTAGTGGCACTTGGTTTATGTTAAATAACGCGAACTAAGTTTTTAATAAAGGGGATGCTTACAACACGCTGACAAGAAGTTAAAGCCGTAAGAGATCTAGGATGACTAAAATGGGCCAAAGCTACAGAAAACTTATAAAAAATTAAAATAATAATAGCTAATGATAATTTATTATACTCCTAAAGATTAACTTAAGAAAAAAAATAATAAGCTAAAGCTAAAAAAAATGGATGAGGACCAGAAGGGCGAAGGAGACGTAGGACGCGCTTCACTAAATGAGTAGAATAGGGACAAGAGCCTAGGAGCTCTCCTACGGGCGCAATTTTTTTATCTCAGATTTAACTCAAAAGTAAGTGAAAATGTAGATTTTTTGAGGTAAAAACATGGGCCTAACCGTAATAAAAACAGACCTAGAAGGTTACTCGGCATAAAAGTATATTTTTCTTCTTTTGTTTACCGTCTGCAAAATTTTTAAACACGATGTAAGAACGCTAATTGATTTATTACTGCGTTTGCTTCTATGTATAGTTAAAGACGCAAGCGCGCTTGAGGAATTTATGAGGGTCTTGAAAAATTATAGTTAATAACGGCTTTTATGAAAACCAGATAATACACATAAATGCTTTTTAAAATTAATGTATATATGCTTGTATAACCGCTCCTTCTACCTCATACTCGTTATACGAGTGTAGGCGTAAGAAATTCAGTAAACCTATTTCTGCTTCTTTTTTACTTCCATATCATTGGCATAGGTCTATAGTTAATATATATTAACTGCGCATACTGAGGGTAAAAATTTAGATTTATAATAAAAAAAAAATTTATCACACTGACGAGCATAACTGTGATTCAAAAATGGGAATATTCACAATTGGTGCACAAGCATCATTAGACTAATAAAATAAAATGCAAAATATTAACCAAAGAAAATATCCAATCAAATATTTAAAGTATATAAACGCTTATAAGTGTATTTTGAAGAAACTTTATCCCCTCAGTACTAGCCCTCCCTCGTACAGACTGGGTGTTAGTGTATTTACAATAATTCTTCACCACCTAAAATAGGGAGCCCTGATAGTTAAATCGGAGTTTGAAATCTTCCTCCAGTGGCTATTGTGTACCTTCAAAAACTAATCAGACCTATCTTTTATCGAAATTACGAAGTTATTTTTGTTATAATAAATAATGTTTCGAGTAATTAGTAACCTTTTAGATTACTAATTAAGTTAGTTTAGCTTATTTGTTTGATTTTGGTTTGAGGTTTTAATCAATTACTAAACCCTGCTGACAGAAAGAACAGCACCAAAGTAGAGAAGCGCGAAATACGAAAGAAATTAGGTCGATTTTTACTAATTGTGTATGTTTATATACGTGGTCCGCTAGTACAATAGTCATACATTTTTCAGGTCACAAAATTTTTATACCAAAGGTTACCATACTAGTAGCTATGCTAAAGCTATAAATTACAAGAAAATTATAGGTTATGGTATCCTTAGAAATTGAAAAAAGTTTTAAATAGTCTGGCATTAAGGACTTATTTATAAATTAATTAAATACAAGTTGTCAGAAATACTTTGGGCGCGTGCTGTATTCATTTCTTAGCAATAGATCGTTTGTTGTACGAATAGAAAAGACGTCCGCCTTAAGATCCTTGAAGCGGGAGTTCCTCAGGACTTTTTAGTGTCACCTTTATTTTTCTCCCTTTATTCATGCAACATCCCCTCTCCTACTAATAATGTTTCCCTAGCTCTACACGCTGACGACACACACGTATATTGTAGTTCAAAATCAATTGCATTAGCTAATAAATGCCTACAGGGATATCTCTTTATACTAGAAAAATGGTTTGCAAAGCCGTAGAAAATTGATTAACCCTATTAACTCCCATACGATGATTATTTTAAGAAAAAGAAAAATGAGAATTATTTATTATTAACTGTAGGCTTAACTGGAAGCCTCATATTAATTATCTTATCAATGAAGTAAGCATATAATTTCTGCTTTAAATCCTCTTATATGCAAAGGAGCCATTTAAGCCTAAAAAAAAATTATTATTATATATTATCAGACCTATTATTAATTACGCTTCTGTCTCATGGTCTCATAAACAGACTTTAATAAAATCCCCCTAGAATGTTTACATGCGCACATGTTTGTGCATATTCCAACTACATTGTGAATGTGAGATTAGTCCTCTTTTGCTTTACCTTAGACGGAGGGGTATAAAATATTTTACTAAATACAAAGAACTCCTAGACAATATAATAACTAGCGCTTTGAAACATAAGCTCGCAAATTTTTTTTTTTAAAATATAGAAGACCTAAACATTTTTGAATTTATCTTAGAAAAGCGAGAATTGTAACGGCTTTAGAACATTTATCATTTAATAAAAATATTATAAATTTAAGGGAAGAAAGAAACTGTTAAAATATTGAATGACAAAGACATTTGCTCTCTTTTTGTTAATGTGCGATGGCTCGAAAGGCCTTGACTTTGGGAAGGAGGCCACCCTGTTATGGCAACAGCGTATGAGCGCCCCAAATGCCTTATTAGGTTACTCCGTTTATCTTCAAATTATAATTCGAGGGTTTTAATATAGTTGATGGCAACAAATGCCTACATAAAATATTAGCCTTATCTAGTAGTAATGAGAAAGTAACTAATTTTTTTCTCTTCTTCTCTTACAGGTATATAAATTAAACCCCTTTCTCTTGGAAGGAACGGATTTTGATATATTCTTTATAATAAAAACGCTATCTTTAAGCATCTTAAGTTCTGTTGTTCTCGATATTGTTCTGCGCTTCTCTTAATTCTATTTTTACGATCTTAGTATCCTTAGTTTCCTCGTTAAGTTTCTTTTTTCCTACTATCTAATTCTACTTCTTTGTTACCTTGCTTAACGGTAGTTTCTTCTATCTAATATTAATTACTCTCTATAATTTGTTAGTTAATAACACAATTTTGCTCTTTTTATCTTCCTAGGTCTTTATAACCGAGTTGCTTGTAGCACACCCTCTTCAACCCTCTCCATAATGAGGGTATTTGTATAAAGCAGTTTAAGTTATAGCACATTAAACGACTGTAGTATGTCAAAGCGATAAATAAATAAAGAAAAAATTTTATATGACTTCAGTTTTTATGATTAAGGTGTGTTTCAAACTTTTTTTTTTATTTAGCTTTACGGTAGCCGTTATTTATTAAAACTTTTTTTTGGTCTATATTAGCGCTTTGGTAAAATAATGGCACAGCGGTGTATTTTCTCAGCGTGGGCGCACATTTAAGAGGGGTTATCCCCGCTTGAAGGCACGGAAAGGTGGTTTACTAAGTTCTTTCGAAAAAAAAAGGGTATATAATGCCAGAAAGTAGCATTTTTTATTATTTATTTACTAGTTTATTGCATTGGCATGCTACAGTCGTTAGGAGTAACATAACCTTAAACCTCTTATTTTATAACAATTTAAACAATTATTTGGTAAC